GGGCTTCTTAATCCCTTCTTTCTTGTAAATACACATAAATCAGTTTTTAAAATCTCCTTCCTCTTTAATTTTTGTTTGTTTCATCTTATTATAAAAATTGGATTTTATTGGTTGTTATATTCTAGTTTATTCTGAGGATTTTGAAATTGAAATAAAAATGACTATAAATCTGATTTTAAGATACTGCTGTTCTTCCAACTAAAATAATTAATGTCTGTGAACCAAAAGCTGGGCCCGGAGTTCTGGTGCTTTCTCCTGTACATCTCAAATTAGCTCATTGGAGAGAGGGGTCATATCTGGTGCTCATGCCTGTAAGTCCAACACTCAGGGGGCTGAGGCAGGAGAACCACTGCAAATCTGAGGATAGCTTAGGATACCTAGTGAGTTCTAGTCCAGGCTTGGTTACAGAATAAGACAGTTTCAACCCTCCCCTCCACACACACACCCTCTGAATTCACAAAATTGAACACTTTTTATACTTGGTAATTTCTGAAATTTAAATGTCTTTTCATAAATATTTGACTAAGGTACCAGTTTTTAGTTCTGCATCGTTGAGAAGACTACTTACTGTCCCGGTGACTCAGTGTCTTTTTATATAAAATGGGAATATAATGGTGTTTGTCACCAAGTGTCATTGGCAGAGTTAAAAACCAATGCTGGAAAAGACTGTCAGATGTCTGATATATGCAGTCAATCACGGGCGCGGGGAGCTTGTGGGGTTCCTGCAGTTGTACCGTTACCTTCAGTTTCAGAACTCAAGTGTCTGCCTTTCGTTTTAACGTATTTCTCAGGTACGTGCCCATCAAAGATCTTCTGAGAATTTACGATAATCTCTACGGTCGAAAAGTCATCCCTGAAAATGTCATCGTTGACTGCACATACCTTCAGTTCTTGGAAATGTGAGTGTGAGCCTGAGGGAAGTCTGCAGCTGACTTATGGGGCTTTCCTGAGCACCCTTTCCCACGTTTTAGTTCCAGGGGTGCACTTTGGGTTTATGGATTTTGTTTCTGTGTCGGCAGTCACGTGACAGAAGACACAGGGCTGGAACTGTCTCTTCATTATTTTCGACCCTTTTCTATAGACAGTGCAACTCATACCGCTTTTCGTTTGTGTTGCAGGCACGGGGAGATGTTAGCTGTTTCCAAGGTAAAAAAAAAAAAAAAAAAAAAGGCCTGCTTTTTCTGAGTGTTGGCTAGAGGACTGTGCAGACAGTGCGGTGCCTTACGTCTCCTGCCTCCGCTGCAGCTCTATTCCACATACTCTACCAAGTCCCCATTTCTGGTGGAGCAATTTCAAGAGTATTTCCTCGGAGGACTGGATGACATGGCGTTCTGGTCCACGAACATCTACCGTCTGACCAGCTTTATGCTGGAGAACGGGACCAGGTGAGTTTTGCCTTGTTACCTTCCCCACATAATGCTCAGCGTTTTCAGCCGATGAGGCCAAACTCAAAGGAAAACAACTCAGAAGTGTGGTCCGAACCGGTTCACAGAGAAAACAACGGAAACTATGCCCTCTCTAAAACCTGGCTGGGGGCGAGCATCTGGTTGAATGCCTCTCAAGTTTGAGGGACAGAGGGACAGAGAGGCAGGCAGACATGGCAGAATTTGGGATCACTGAGAAGTATCTCATACACAGCGCCCCCTGTCTCCCAAAACCAAATCACCAGTGGGCGGTTTGTCAAGCACAGGGTGTGGGGGCAATCTGATGGAGAGCGTGGGTGGGACTGTGGGGGCAATCTGATGGAGAGCGTGGGTGGGACTGTCGGGGCAATCTGATGGAGAGCGTGGGTGGGACTGTGGGGGCAATCTGATGGAGAGCGTGCGTGGCACTGTGGGGGCAATCTGATGGAGAGCGTGGGTGGGACCGTGGCTCAGCTCCTCTGAAACATTATCAGAGCAAACAGGAAGCAGGTCTTCAGGAAGACCTGTCCCTAGGTCCGGGAAGTCTGTTGATGAGAGAAACCACCCATCATCTGTACTGGGCACACAGCTGCCCCAGCTGAGCTGCTGGGGGCAGGAAGGGCAGGAAACTTTGGCACAGCTCCCACTGCAGAGAAGGGGGGGCGGGGAACACTGGAGCTTAGCTGGGTCAGCCCAGCCAACCGTGCAGGCTTTTTATGCAAGAGCCATTCTCCAGAGCTGGTTCCAGGAACTTGGAGCACGGGTGTTGATAAATTGAAGTGCCCACACACTTGCAGCTCCAGAATACTGTGTGATGTGTTCTTAAAAACACATTGCTAATCATAATTACACGGTGTTGATTTGAAACGAAATTCTCCTTGGTGCTAAGATTGACTTCAGCCTAATCTGCATCAAACTTACTTGAAAGATTCAGGGATGGTTTGGTAGGGATTAGGAATCTAATATAAATCTTATTTAATTTGACTTCTTGTGTGTATGTGCTGTGCATTCATGTGTGTATGCATGATTACATGTGTGTGCACGTGCATGCATGTGGAGATCTAAGGTTGATGTAGGTGTCTTCCTCGGTTACTCTCACCTTATACCTTGTGACTGGGCCCCTTGCTGAATTCTAAGCTCCCTTATTGCAGATAGTCTGACTAGCTAGCTCACTTGGAGATTTCCCATCACCATCTTCTGAGCACTGAATTTTCAGGTTGGCTACCATGCCCATCTTTCATCTATGTGGGTTCTGGGGAACCGAACTCTGGTCCTCACACTTACACAGCAAGTGTTTT